CCTTTACTTACATACAATATGTAGAAGTAATAACTCTATGCTTGAAATCACCTAAAGTCAGAATACATACCAAAGTAACTTTGCTCATATACCTCGTATAAAAAGTCTATCGCCCGTATTCACAAACATTACTATGAGGTCTCACAGTGCGCGTGGACGCACAGGGTGACACACGAACCAATCACAGAGATCTATTCAACTCTGTGAGTTCGATTTGCTGTGTCACTTAAGCAAGCATCGTTTATGAATACGGGCGTATGACTCGTACAAGATTTGATCCCGCAACCTTAGGTGAAGTTTTAATCCAGTACGCCAACCACTAACCTATTCGTCGCGAATTAATTATAGGTACAAAAAGGTCCCTTTTACCCACTGCGCGCAAGGGAGGGTCATGTGTTTTCCTCTCAAATCGAACCGGTAACCTAAGCCGACTCACACGAAGCTAACAAACGATTGACACAACATATCGTTTGTCAAACGATTATCAAATTTTTTTGGAACAAAATATTATCATCGCCAAATACTCCCAACAATAAAATATGGGATGAGATAAGATCGCCGTTCCCTCAATCCGATTCGCGGGACTGCGGAACGGGTACACAGTAAAATAAGGTACAGTAAGGCTGGGTTGCACTTGCACCATCTACTTTAACTTTAATAAGCATCAAAAGTCTATCAAACTCCATACAAAAACCACCGGTTATCGTCATAGTTACGGTCAAAGTTAGGTGGTACAACTCAGCCTAAGCCTGGGTTGCACCATTTTATTTTGACTTTAACAAGTATCAAACTATCAAATTCTATCAAACTCCGTACAAAAAGCACCGGTTATGGTTAGTCATCTTTAAAATAAGGCGGTGCAACCCAGCCTAAGTCTCTTCTCATTCATTACACTCTCGTCAGAGTGGTCGAGGTCTTCTTACGATGTGCGCCATCATAGATTTCTAAATCTAAATGACTGAGTCCGAGGACAACCCTCTCTAATTTATCAGAGGCAGATGGAGGATTTGCCCTCCATAAGCTGACGTTAGCGAAGCAGAAGTAAGAGAGAATAGAGTTTCGTGGAACTTTTGAAATTCACCTAGCCATGGTGGCCAGGCAGTTACCTAGTTATGTATCTCTTCGCCTAATCTCCCACCTTGTATGAGACGATTTTCAGGAGAAAACTACATACTACAGGGTGGCCCAGAAGAAAGTTCACTTTTGAAAATTTAAGGAAACGAAAACTGTAAATTTTTGTAGAACTTTAATTATCGTAATTTAAAGGAAATTTCATGCAATTTATTTTTAAATTTACTTTTTTTTTAAATTTGATCGTACATGTGATTCCCTTGACGTTTACAACATTCGGTCAACTTGCATAAAAATTTTGGAAAACTTTCGTAAGAGTTACCTTGAAATGGATTCAGGATGGATGAATGCTGTAGAGTTTTTGGATTTTTAGAGTATACTCTGCTCATAATGTAACCCCACACAAAGAAGTCTGCTGGAATAAGATTAGGGCTTCTTAGTGGCAATGAGATTTCACCCCTGCTTAATTGGTTTGTTGCATCGAAAGGATGATTAATTTTTGAGAACGCTATACTGACATGCTGAAAAGCTTTTTGATTTCAAAGTGGCAAGATTCGCAAGGCTATGACAGGAACACTTGGTTTCATCAAGATAGGGCTACGTGTCACACTTCAAATGAGAGCATTTAGATCAGGAAGCCCTGACCTCACTCCAGAAAACTTCTTTTTGTGGTATTACCTTAAGAATAAAGTATACTTTTATAATCCATCAACCATGCAGCAACTGAAGCTGAACATTCGGCAAAAAATGAAAAATCGGTTTCGAGGTAATTCTAACGAACGCATTTCAAGATTTTGATGTATGTTGATCGAATGTTGTAAGCGTCAAGGAAATCTCCTGGACGATGTAATTTAATGAAGGAAAATTTAAAAATAAATTGCATTTAATTTTCTTTGAATTGTAATGAATAAAGTTCTACAAAATTACTTAGTTTTTTTTTCCTTAAATTTTCGAAAGTGAATTTCTTTCTGGGCCACCCTGTATAAGATTACTGACTTCTGACTATATTATGTCAGATAACAGTTAAGGAAACGGTTCATCCCGAGATTCGATTTGCGAAGGGAATAAATCACGTTAATTGTAATTTGTTAAGCCGGCCATCTTTCGGCGGGAATTCTGGACCTTTAAAATACGCGAAAGTTCTCGAATGAAGAGCATCATACTAATCTTGTCATACCAATAAATACCAATTTTTTACGGTAAAAGAGTGAATCTCTGTCAACTTGGAAGTTCTAGGTTTAATTCTCAGTTAGGGCAAATTATGTGAAAACAACTGTACAAGTAGGTACATTTTCTAAGTGAAATATGAATCCAATTCATAAGTCTGCCAAGTTGTAAGGTAACCTTGGTTTAAACTACCCACACGAATGAATAATAGGCATTAATAGGTATCAAAATACCACCTAACTTAGATCTACAATTTATGAAACTGTAACAAAACTGCATAATTTGCAACGATTTTGTAGGTATATCACATTTTCAACAGTAATCATCAACACCAATATTATAAAGAGGAAAGATTGTAATTGAATTGGCACTGAAACTAGCGGACCGATTTGAAAAATTCTTTCACCATTAGAATCCCACATTATTTCTGATGAACATAAGAGGTAAGAAAGTTCGCCAGGGCGCAGCTAGTGAGATACTACCCGTTCGTGCTAAGTTTGGCCGGTCCGTGGAATGCGCGTCCCCACTCCCAACCGCGATTAAACGCAATTAGTTAGTGATTAAACGCAATTAATGTGTCTTATTTTACGTAAATACACAATTTTTATCAATAATAATAAATAAAAAATATTTTAAATATAGTTTATTATAGCCGCTTCCCTTCGAGTGACGTCGAACGGATAGTAAGTAAGTATAACTCCTGCTGAATTATTAAAAAATAATAATTCAGCAGGAGTTATACTTCTTCATCAAATACTTTTTCACATCCACGAAAAACACTTCAGAATACTCCCCCAACCGAAATCGTCTGTCATCGAATCCGTATCGAATAATCAGTTAATCGTATACGAACAGTCAACACATCAGACTTTACATTTTCGTTGCAAAGTAGACCTTATCACAAGTACTTAAAGTACCACATTGTTTATCTCGATAAGCCGTCGTCTGTACATCCAGAACCGATTGTTAAATCGATATTTTATGCATGGACGTATAAAGTACTTAATTTATTACTTTCAATTCAAAGTGAATGTGTGAAGAAAACACTAACGGTCTTATTCATAATCATTTTTCACATTTTATCAAATGCTTATTAGAGGTTTATAAAACGTTTGATAAAAATTGTTATTCATAATCGTCATTTAGCGCTAAAATCCTCTTATAACTGTGTGATAAGTTATCGAGAGCTCGGGCCTTGTTTAAAGCTCTAATAAACCTATTTTAACCTAACTTTTATAAATGTCATTTCATATGAATGTTTGGGATTGATGACGNTAGTTATGCCAGCCAGGTGGAATTGTGCTTCGGCTTGAGCGAACCATATTGCCGGTCTATCGATCCAGAAAGGTGGGAGTTTTACTGAAACTCTGCAAACCTGTTCGTTACTAGTTCCTGGTTTGGGTTCTGTTTGTGCCTTGAGTAGTTGAGATTCCAAAACTGCATTTTTGGCTTGAAGTTGCTCCAACTGTGCTTTAAGGTCTGACTCGGACATGTTTGAAAATATATTTGTTAATAAAATTAATAAAAATAAGAGAAAAGTTAAATAAAAGTAAGAAGTATCCTTCTCCGCAGGTGTTGCAACAAAAATATTTCACTATAAAGCAGTAAATAAGAGTAAGTATGATTAACTTATGTAATAAATGCAGGGCACACACAAACAAAAATAATAATAATAAGTCACACACACAAGAACAACAAGAACACAAGGATCATGAACAGGCCAACATTCAGCGATGAAAACCAAAAATGTTGATGGTACAATTAGTGTAAAATAAGAAGCTAAGTTATCTTGTATAATAATCATGCACTATTACCTACTAAAAATGTTATTAATTATAAAATTTAAGTCATGAACAGAGTAGGTACTAGTAAAGTGTCTTGGGTTTATTTTTACACAAAAAATATTGCTGTATTATACTTAGTTAATCACTGTCCAAGTCACAAAGATAATTAAAGCTCGAAGTTGAAGATTGTTTATATTGTAGGGTTAATAAACACATATAATTTTATGATTTTAGTAAATACTTTAAAAAGTATAATGTTCAATGTCTATTTTGTTCAAATGCACAGCTGAATAGAAGAGACGGAGAATGAGATGGTACTTGCGTGGCTGCGGTGACGTTGGTGGACTGGACTGTCTTTGATTGGATTTCACTTTATTATGATTAGTAAACCCACTGTTAGTAAGTAGTTTGTAGGTTAGTTGTTGATATGCACACCACAATGCAAACTATACGCACAATTTCACACACAATACACCCATACACGATGCACGAAATGAGGTAAGTAGAGGAAAGCAGTCGTTATGCGGCAGGGGCGGCAGGGCTGATAGTCGTCGTGGAGATGGCATGGAGCGTAACCGGAGCAATCTTGTGTTCAGGATCCTGATGATGATCCGGGATCCGTTTTGAACGTGCGGTGGTCACCAGTTTGGGGTTGATGACGGCGTTCCCCGAGCCGAATCAAACTCCGATTAGATTTAACAATGTCTGTTTATTCGCAACGACAGTGCGAAGTGACTGCACTCCAAACAACGATAATACACGGGCAATGTTGTTACAACTTGTGTTACACAAAATACACTGCACCAGTGAGCATAAATTTACAATCAAAGTTCTTAGACAAGTTACGACCAAGAGAGTTGGTTGGAAGCCGCAGGAAGTGACGAAAAAAAGCGCCAAGGCCTATCTGTCAAAGTCCAACTGACAGATTAGAGTTGTGATGCGTTCGGGAATACGAAATTTCCGAACGCCACAAACTCTTGTTTCGTATGTACAAAGCGGCGCGCCGTATGTGTTGACACTCAGAAGAAGTGTTTATTTGCGAGATACATCGGGGAATTGTTTTCATTGCCTGAAACATGTCTCTGGGCGGGTCGACTGTGCTGAAAAGCGCCACCATGCTGGAACAGCTCTTGGAGGAGATCAACTTTCAGAGGACCAAAGAGATGCGACAACTATTGAAAGATGGTAAGTCCACTAAGATTTAAACTATGCATACATACAATAATATTTTTTTAAGGAGGTTGTGTTCGAATAGGTAAACCTGAAAACCTTGGAAACCTAGTTTCTTAGTAAATTGAGTACCTACAAAAAGTATGTTATAAAAAAACTAAAATAATAGTATTTGGAACTTGGTAGGTAGGTAGTTCTAAAAGATTTTCAACAAAATTCATTGTTCCTCATTCCATACAAGACCTAGGGAAAAGTAGCAGGTAGTTACCTGTTTTAAAAATGTTTTGTACCCTTCTTAGTTGATGTACCTATTACATTTATTTAGGTGACTTATAGAAGAAAAATGAAAATCAATAAAGGAAAAAGAGAGAGGTCCCACCAGCTTTTAAACACACACAAGGAACCATTACATGAGACATGTAATGGTTCCTTAAAACTTCAAGCCCCATGAATCGAGACACAATAGATATTTAATTGTTATGCGGTCGCTTAGGGATTGATGGGTTAAGGGCATAACTGTTTTTTTTATTAGTTTCTTTTTTTAAAAAGTTGGCCATTTGTAAATAATTAGCACTGATTAAAGCTATCTATTACATATATTACTTTTTTACTTTGTCTTTGGTCTCAAGGTATCAATGTTTGAAAATCTCTTTGTGCGAGTACCAAGCTTACTCTCACTGCTTCTGCTACTGACCAATCTTAGCAAGCATGCTAAGATTGGTCAGTAGCAGCCCATGTTGATGATACATAAGTCAATTTATTTAATTATTTTATTGGGCAATTCAGGTGCTAGTTCAGTCAGCGTCAAATAGGTTGTGACACCCAAAGTTTGCAACACGTCTTTGTTACAATTATTGGAATAAGGTTATGTTGTCCACTTTTTGGCTACTTTATGTGTCACAAAGTATTTGACGCTGACTGTACCTACTTGTTTATCCAATGTACAGATTGCACCAGTAGGTTCAACTTTAATGTTTGTTAGATATCTTCTGTCAGTCAGTATTTCACTTGCCATTAGAAATATCTCCTATTCATTTAAAATTAATATAATATCATTACATTATCTATATTTAAATATTATTTAACCTCGTAAGCCCGGATGTGCCTCAGAAGGAACTGAAACTTTGTAGTCAGTAACGCCGAGACATTTTCGGAGGTGATTTCGAAGTATCGCCGGATGTGCCTTCAGAGGAACTAAAACTTTAGCGATAAATTTAAGTTAAAAAATTCGCGCCTATCGAAAAAAAAGAATGATAGTCTATGGCTTAAAGTATTCAAAATCAGGTATCCGAACTTATTAATATAAAAAAAACAAAATGTCACTGTCAAATTGTCATTTTTCTTTGACAAGGTGGTTCGTCCGAGAAGACGTGATGTGCGATTATTTTTTTTTCTTCACGTAAACGTAGTTTAATTGCAAAACTGACCAGTATAATGTAAGTTAAAATACTGCAAAACAAGCAAAAAAAAATATTTTTCCCAATTTGAAGTAGTTTTGTAAGATTTTCTTTCGTTTGAAAATAATAGTTCTTTGCAAGGAACATTCGGTCTTGATGGTGAAAGTTTTATTTTTGTACATTTTTTCTATTGAGATGGGATTGAGTATTGGACTATTAAAATTATGATATGNGTTCGGGAATACGAAATTTCCGAACGCCACATACAAATAAAGTGATTTGATTGAAAAAAAAAATCATTATGTGCATGTATGTACACGTACACACACAAGTAATGCTCACACACCTTCGTGAGCTGCTGCTGCTGTGCTGATCGATTGGTAGCGGCCTGCGTCCAGCGCTTCCCTGCTACCTTTACGATGTCGTCGGTCCACCTTGTGAGTGGACGTCCTACGCTACGTTTTCCGGTATGCGGCCTCCATTCCAGAACCTTGCTACGAACCTTACAAGGTTATTACAATAAGTTCTACTTCGCAACAAAGTTAAACCTGATTTGCTGTCGATTGTACAAGTGGCAGACTCACTCTTGTGGCAGATAGCTCCGCTCTTAATGGTCGAAAGCATTAAAACACGATTAGGACTTAGGATAACGTAGCAAAGCATAACAAAGTTTGAACAACGAAAAACGAAAGATAAGGTAATGTTAGTAAGGAAATGAAAGTCCTATTTAGAATCCATGGTAGAAATACTGATATGGGTGATGTGACTTTCTTTTTTACAGCTTTCTGCTCTTATTTCTCAGCAACCTAGATAGTTAATTTGAGATATTATGTAAACATTCTTTTCAGTACATTCGCTCTTAGTATAATAATGAGCATTGGTAGCTCGTACCTCATAAAGGGTACGAATAGCAAGGAAGGCGCTGGATGCATTCCGCTACTAACCGGGCGCTGTGGAAATCATTGGGGGAGGCCTGTGTTCAGTAGTGAATGTCCTGTGGCTGAAATAATTCGGATGATGAGAGGGGTCGTAGTCACGTTATAGCTTCTAAGTCGTTTATAGAGGTGGACTCAGCTCTCCACACGATGTCAGTCTGCCTGGTGCAGTCATATACGCGGTTTCCCATAGCAGATGTCACTTGGTCTGTCCAGCGCATAAGTGACCTGCCACGCGATCGGGTTCCTTCAACTTTTGCCTGAAAGTAGGTATGTCTAAGGGACCCGAAAATGGCCTACGTACTTATAAAATCTTGAATTTAAATATGAGTTGACTATATTTATGAGACATATTTTAGTGACAGAGTAACTAAAATATGTGTTCAAACACTGTATATCTATTCTACACGTCGTGCCCTGGGGAACTGTCAGAATGATAAACCCTCCCAACATTTCTTTGCACCATTTGTTTCCAAGAAAAGGGTTGAGAGGGACGTTAAAGCCCGGGCAACGTTTTATCACTTACTGCTGCCCGCGGCGGAATCCGCATAGTTTATTGAAACTGGATTGTTTGGATATACGCCACGGCAGTCCAACGGATATACGATGACATAAAACTTCTACAGATTTTCATTGTTTTTATGTACTATATTCAATAGTGATCTAAAAAATCAGTTTATACCAATTTTTTATGGTTTTGTGAATCTCATGCCCGTTTTCATCATAAATCGTTAATTTTTAAGTGACCCATATGAAAACAAAATTCCTGTTATGTATTACCATAGGAGTCACTTAAAAATTAGGGATTGATGGTGAAAACGGTTAGTTAACTGCTAAAAGCCACAAGTACCTAATTTATATCTGGTGAAGGTCGCGGGAGGTGCCTGGATGCGGGCGGCCGCAGGACCGGTCTTTATGGAAATCCTTGAGGGAGGCCTTTGTCCAGCAGTGGATGTCATTTGGCTGAAACGACGAACGACGACCTAGTTTATAGTTGACAAATTAAATTTCTTCTGCCACTTCTTTTCATCATCAGCCGATATGTTCTTTCGATTAGTTGTAGGACATGTTACATTTGGGAGGTATTTAACTGCTCTGGAAAGGGCCATTTATTCTCTCATCATCATCATCATCATCTCAGCCATAGGACGTCCACTGATGAACATAGGCCTCCCCCAATGCTCTCCATGCTGCCCGATTGGTAGCGGCCTGTGTCCAACGCCTTCCTGCTACCTTTGTGATGCCGTCGGTCCACCTTGTGGGTGGACGTCGAACGCTGCGTTTTCCGGTACACGGCCTCCACTCCAGAACCTTGGTGCCCCATCGGCCTCAGTTCTACGTACTATGTGCCCTGCCGTCAGATTAATAATCTATCGGGCTATGTCAGCTCTCATCTCTATTTATTTATTCTCTCATAAACAATTTTAATTTAATTAAAGCAATTACGTTGAAAGTGCACCAAAATGCATTGAAATTAGTGAGTCTACTGAGTTTATATCCATTACGATTTCCGACTAATTGAATGTCGGCGGAACGTCGCTCCGTTATTCGGCGATAGTTAGCAGCTAACCGCTTTGGCGTTGCGGCCTGGGGTGCTGGTAACTTCGTGATGCACTAGCTTTGTATTGAGTTACCACCAACAAGTATTAGGGCTTGTCTCTGTCGCAGTAAGATAGATAAAACCGTAATATAGTTATATCCCTAGGGATATAATTATATACCCTAACATAGTTATACGAAAGCGATTCATTACTATCTCACTAGGAATATAGTTATAAAACGGTCCAAGTTGTAATCCTGAGGTTGGTATCCTGAAAGATTTGTTACCCAGAAATGCAATACAGCTTTCAAACATTACTTTGAATGATCCTTTACCAAATGAAAACTTGTCACTGAGAAAAATATGCCAAAAATTGTCGCGCTTTTGGTGGCTAAGGTTATTTAAAATGTTCCTGTAAAAAAACGAATATACAGTGTTCTACTAATATACATAGCGATAACCGGTGCGTTTTGTATGGAGTTTGACAGATTTTTGACGTTTGTCAAAGTTAAAGTAAGATTGTGCAAGTCAGCCTCAGTTAGCTACTAAAGGCTAACTGCTTCATTTGTGTTATAATTCACTCATTGTTATCCAACTAAAAATCACGTTTCAGTGTTATTTGGTAATATTATCAAAGAATTCAGTTTATTTACTTTAGTTGAGTGCCTACTACCTGTCTACGACTTTTGTAGTCCAGCCTTTTAGGGTCCTTCAAAACTAAGAGCTCTTACATTTGCCCCAAAAGGCTTTAGGATAAGTATTTGTATGGCAGTATGAAAATATTCTATTCTCTTATGCCTACAGAAGAAATAAAAACGAAAATTATTCAGTAGTTAGTTTAAATATACTACTGAATAATTTTGAATTTTCAATTTGATTCTTTTAAATGCAAAGTTATTGGATTCCAGATCAAAAGGAGATATTTTTAGATATTCGGCCTCAGACAGTGAAAACTTTTAGCCTAAACGACGCCTTTCTACCTAAAAAATAGGATCATCCCAGATAACGTCCTATGCGCCATTCTTGTTACAGGATATCGGCATTCTTTGATGTGTAGGATATTTTATTGATTTAAGGAAAGTACGCGAAGATGCTTATTTCTGTTCAATTTAGTTTTTAATTGTAATAAAATATAGTTATTTT